AGAGAGAGAGAGAGAGAGAGAGAGAGAGAGAGAGAGAGAGAGAGAGAGAGAGAGAGAGAGAGAGATCATTTTAAGAAAAACGTGCAGATCCACAGTGCATGGTCAAAGAAGGTGAGAAACAGGTGATGTGTTTCCCAAACTCGTCCTTTTCTTTTGCGAGTGAAGCCGCTACGGTCCTCTAGTCAAAGTCAAAATATATTCACAATATGGGAGTGCATTCATTGGCACCTTCGACTTTGACTACGATAGTAGAAACACTGAGAGGGCTCTACACGACTTACTCTTTATTTATATCAAAGGGCAGAGCACTGCCAGAGTCCCTGGTAATTCAGACTACTTTTTTTTTCTCAATTTATGCGTGTCATCCTTGCACAGGGGCCATGCTAATCTTCTCTGTATCGTTCCAATTTTAACGGATGTCCCGAAGGACAGGTAAATTCAGACTTAATCAGCTGATTCATCGGGATTCAAACTGAGGTCTGTATTTTAGTAGTTCACAGGTGTACCAACTGTCTTAGGCGGACGTTAGGCCACTTGGTAGTAAGTTGGTACTAAATATTTATTAATTGTTTCTTAAGTGCAGATGTCCTCTCGGGAAACGTGGGTTCGCTTAAGAGGTATGTTGTGGATTGGTTTACGAGCTATGACGAGGGTAGACAGAGGGAGGAAAAAAGAAAAGAAGAGCTTTTGTGAGGAACCTTGTCTTTCTTTGGCTTGGATTCATAATTCCATTCTACTGACTCACAATGGTACAGACTACTACAAAGTCATAAAGAAGACATACCTCCGCCAGTGTTGGGAAAATAGGGAAAACTGGCAGTTTTCCAAAACTCCAAAAAAATGGGAGGCCAGGCCCGACGACGGCTATGATTGATAAATGTCATCGACAGCCGTCTTTTCGTTCCGGCCTCCTAAAAGGTCAGAGGCCCATCCGAGGCCCGCTATTTTCCCGCTCGGCAAAGGTACTAGTGGTTTAAAGAACCCCGATGTCTGAGCCACACTTTCTGTATGGCTTTAGACTGGCTATTCTTGCCAGAGGCAAATTATGAAGAGTTGTCTCTGAAGAATTTTCCGCGTTTTTATTGCTATGCTCTTTTGACATGCACTTCAGCCACAATCTCATTGGTGTATCCTGCTTCGGTGGGTACTCGCTGAAGTGCAAACAGTCCCTGACATGACAATTGACAAGAGGGCATTGCAATGAATCTCACTACTTAGGCATACTCAAACAGGACCTTTTTACTTATTTGTGGACATAATTGTGACCACATACGTCCGGGTACGGCTGTAAATTCGGTCAGATACGTTTAAGATGGTGCTAGTTTCGGTACGCCCTCATATTTTCATTGATGTATTCCGCTTTTGTCCATTGTCATGTCAGAGACTGTTTGCCCTTCCCTCTCTTCTTCTTGTACTTCAAAAAAAAAAAAAAAAAATTCCCCATCTTAGCCATCTATTCCTTTTTCTTCTCCTTTTCTTCTCTTTTCTTCTTCTTCTTCTTTTTTGTTTTCACACAACACACAAGCCCCTTCTATTCTGGGGGCCATCAGTCCGGCTGCTTATTACCGGCAAGCAAGCGTACAAGAAACAATTAGAGAAGGAAAGTAAAAGAAGACTCAGCCCTACCCTTGCAGTATGAGTGACCTGCTCAAGCCGGGGGGTGCCACGAGCTGACCCCCCCCCAAACCATAGCCTTCCTGGGGGACTTCTGCTGGCCGGGAAGCTTACTGGCAGCACCCAGTCACGCAGCAGAAGAGCCTCAGGAAAGGCAAGGCGCGAGGGAGGCCCTCCTAGCAGCCTCTCAGGCCGCAAAACCCATTTTTTTCTTCTCCTTTTCACGAAGGCTTCTTCTTTTTTCTGGTTATTCCTGAGCTGGGCCACAAAAAAATTGTGAATGCCGAGGCGACCATGACCATTCCATCTGGTGGATTAGGCTTTTAGTAATATACAGGAAATGTTTGTTTGTTTGTTTTTTTTTTTTGTTTTTTTTTTTAGGCACACAGTACAAGTATTAGACTATAAGTGATATAGTGTGAGGTGAGCCTGAAGCTAACTGGCAGCTGCACTTTGTTTCATATTGCTGGATGTGGGTTTGCTGATCCTATGCGATACGATCGAACCACAGTTGTTGAAAATAGGAATTTGATTAGCAGTGGTTGGCCCCAAGGGGAAGAGGAAGAACAGAAGAGTGTGCCTCATGCCGAGGAAGCCAGTCATCATGGAGCGAGCAGAGCATTGACGGGCACCACCTCAGATTTGGCCGTGACGGTGAGTGAGTGGAGCAAGCAACATCATGATGGAGCAGATGATGATGAATGGGAAAATGGTGAAGATATAGAGACGACAAGCGCAGCCAAAGGCTCGTCGTCGCTGTGGACAAAAGGCTCGGATTTGGCAAGGTTGAAGAAATTAAGGGCGATCCTTATCCGACATATGGGCCCAGTTGGCACAACCAGCAATCAAGGTCTGTGATAAAACTCTTTGTTCTGCACCGCAGATGAGTCTCTTTGTGCAACCTTCTCCCTCCCGGCCCTCCCTTTCTGCGGGACCCCTATATGCACCCTGACATCATGGTTACCTGGATCTGGACCCCATGTGGAACAGGTTAGCGATGATCCATGTCCTGCAGCAAGATTGGCACTCCCAGCATGGCGAGCTTGTTACGATGCTATCTTGTTCTACAATCTACTGTGCCATTCTGTACTATGCCATACTATGCTGTCCTATACTTGGTGCTACGGTGTGGGATAGCACAGTGCAGCATACTATGTACTACAGTATAGGATAACGTAGTGAAATGTACTATGTGCTACATGTGCTATGTATTACAGTCTACTATGTACTACTATGTACTAGAGTGTACTAGAGTGTATGTACTATAGTGTACTATGTACTATGTACTATGTACTTGTACCATGTACTAGAGTGTACTATATTTACTAGAGTGTACTATAGTGTACTATGTACTATGTACTATGTACTATGTACTATGTACTATGTACTATGTACTATGTACTAGAGTGTACTATGTACTATTGTGTACATGTACTAGAGTGTACTGCAGTGTACTATGTCCTACTATGTACTATGTACT